TGTTACAATATACATTTTAACTTCACATATTTCCAAAGTTATTCAAATCCAGGGCATGTATGGAACTGGATGGAGTAGAAATCACTTGGGGCCAAATCAGGATATATTCCAGAGTCCTGCGTTGGCTTACAAATGGAATCAGTGGAACCATACATAGGCCTACGAGGAAGCCATTGTGGCCTTGTCCATAGCAGTTTCAGTGACTCAGATACCCTTTGAAGGTATCAGCAGGATATAGGTATAAATTTTCCTCCAGCTTGTTATGGATCCATATAGAAAGATGTCATCAGCTAATTAGGAAAATATATTCATGTCAGAGCTTTGACTTTTCTGAAAAGGATGGAGTAATCACTGCAGTAACATCTGGCAATGACTTGGATGTGTGGCAAAAGTAAATCCACTTCACTTCCTAGGAATAACAGTCCAAACAAAAGTTGAGTTTTTTGTGGCCAAATATTTCTTTCGAAATCAGAGCAACCTAAATGAGCTTCAAGAAATTTACTATCAAAGAGTGGCCTTTGCAGATAGAAATATCAATGTAATGGCTGCTGAAGAGAGAGTTTTTGGCCTGATGTACTGAGATCTGTGAATCAAGATTTTCTTTTCTAACTTAAGTCAGACAGTAGCAGAGCTCTTAATAACTTATGCAAAGTTTTTAGCAACTCACTTTTTTGTTGCATTTGCAAAAGGAAGGAAAACTAACTTTCCTTCTAATAAATGCTTATTTACATTCTATGAAAAAATGTGGTAGCTACAACTGTTTTAAAGTAAAACTTTCATGTGCTCTCTATATATTTTTTTCACTCTGAAAATGAAACATAGTGATTCATTTGAAAAGACAAAGGTTGAATGCTTGGTCTGTGGTGACCATGGTCTGTGGTGACCATCCAGGGAGCAGGGAATCCCATGTCTAGGGATGGAGCTACTGATGGTGGATGTGTTAGCTTTTTGGAGAATGGACTAAAAAAAATACGGCTGTGGGATCATGACACTTACCTGCATTATTAACTTCATTTATTTTCTCTCAGACAGACATAATGTCTGCTTTGACTTGAACTTTGTGGCGCCTCAGTACCATACATGTAATTGTGGTTGATGGGTATCATTAGCTGGTCTTTTGTGTGCAGTAATCCCCTGACCTTGTGGTTGGGTGGAGTTTGTTGTGCTTGTCTGTGTTTTTGAGAGCTGGGAGCCAGGTTTTGTTGAGTTTCAGACATTCCTCCTTCTGGTTGAA